ACACACACACACACACACACTCACAGACACACACACACACAATCTCACACACACTCACAGACACACACAGACACACACACACACACACACGGTTGTTTTCTGACTCTTATTTGTCGTATTGTTCCTCAGGCTCTGCTGCAAGTGGCTAAAAACCTCTTCACGCACCTCGGTGAGTCATGAACGCATCTTAATGTCAGCGTGAATCCACACTGACTCTGTTTACCATCGTAATGCATGTTCCTGATCTGACTGTCAATGATTCATCAGTGACGCTGTTACAAAGAAAAACCTGTCTTTTCATTATCTTTCTTCAGTGTTTAACAGATTTCTCCACCTCTGAAACAATTATCATTTTTACTGATGTCATGAAGGCCGTATGATGCTGGTTAATGTTAATTAGTAGCCTGTTATCTGTAGTTTGTTTCAGGTTGCTGTTTTAGGTGATGCATCTTTATAAAGTCTTTAATCAAGTTATTTAGTAGTTTAATACTGGATAAAGTGGTAACACTTTACAAAAAGGTTCCATTAGTTAACATGAGTTAACTGCACGAGTTAACAACGAAAAGAAGCATTTATTAATCTTAGATTAATAACATTTATTAATAGTTGTTAAAGTTATTATTTTAAAAGTAAACTTGCTACATGAATACTATATATATAAACCATATATGTAAATGGATTGCATTGCATTCAAATTAAGTGAATTGAATTAAACAGCCTTGAATTTAATTGCATTGAATTGCATGGCATTGAATTGAATTAAATTGCATTGCATTGCATTGAAATAAATATAATTGATTTTAATAGCATTGAATTTTATTTCATTGCATTGCACTGAAATGAAATTAATTAAATTGAATTGCACTGCATTAGTTAACATTGACAATTAACAATGAAAAATACTTCTAATGCATTTATTAATCTTAGCTAATTTTGTCAAATCTTAATTTTAAGATTCACTAATACATAGTTAAAGTCAAAAGTTGTGTAATATAGTTGTATAATATATTATTAAAGTGTTAATATTATTGAATAGACCTGAGCTAACAGGCTAACAATGAGCAGTTGTTTTACAAAGATTATTCAATAGCGCAGGACATTGTTAGTTAATGCATTAAAGTGTAAACTCATTGTAAATGTTTACCAATAAAGGTTACAGCAATAATATCAGACTCATAAACAGATTCCAGTCACATAATAGAAATCAAAAGCTGTTTCATTACAGCACGTCGACATTAAAGAAGGTTTACAGGCATTTTTGGATGTGAATGAAAATGAAGCGGTTTGATTGGCTGTGTAACGTCCTTCTCTCCGTCTCTCGTTCAGATGACGTGTCTGTATTACTGCAGGAGATCATCATCGAGGCCAGAAACCTGAGCAACGCTGAGATGTGAGACACAAACACACACACACAAGCTTCATTATGGGTTTGATAGTTTTGGGTTTCGTCCAAACCAATTCCAGACGGTTAGCATGACAAGAGCAGCGGCTCATAAATATCAATTAACTCCAATCAAATATTGTAACATTTAATCAAACACACTGTCAGCAGGCTCTAAATATTTACAAGTCTAATGCGGACTGAGCTGAAACACGGATATTCTGGGTTTGTTCAGTTGTGTTCAGAGCTATTTTCTGTCTTTCTCTCAGTTGTTCTGTGTTCCTGTTGGATCACTTCAGTCATGAGCTCGTGGCCAAAGTGTTCGATGGAGGAGTCGTGAACGATGACGAGGTACAATAAACGTGTGCTTGTGTACAAATTTCTCATGTTGTACAATACAGATCGTTTTAAAGCAGCTTCACAGTAATAAACAGGAAAATAACTAATAGTGTAATTATTCAACTCAGCTTAGTGCAGTGTTGATTCAACTTATAGTTTAATAACAACAACAACGATGACGGAAAAAAAATGTAATTCATCCTTAAAAAGACCACAAAACCTCCTTTTAGTAAATTTTTAACAGATTATTTGCTCATACACTGTTAATTCAAAGCATTTTTCATAAAAGTGATTAAAAAGCAAACAAATAAAAACTAATATTATAAAATAGGGGGGGGAAACCATAAAAAAAATTTGATATAGTGGATTTAGACTGAGGGAAACTTGTGATTTGTGAATATTACAGTCCTTTAAAAAAAACGTCTCGGTTACGTATGTAACCCTCGTTCCCTGAAGGAGGGAACGGAGACGTCACATCGGTGACCGACGAATTGGGATCTTGCTTAGAGAGACCAATCCCCTTTGAGTGTAAACTAAACGAGCCAATGCACATTGGCATGCGATGATTGCATCCAGCTGCCGCTGATCACAGCGTGAGCATAAAAAGGCAGCCGGTGCAACGCATACCAGGTTTTCTCTGAGGAGCCAAGCCGGTGACTCGGCCGCTCAGCGGTGGTACAGCAGCCGTGGCGACAGGACGTGACGTCTCCATTCCCTCCTTCAGGGAACGAGGGTTACATACATAACCGAGACGTTCCCTTTCAGTCGGTCACTCCGAGTCACGTTGGTGACCGACGAATTGGGATCCCTACCAAAG